TTCAGCGACTTTTGGACTGACTGCCCATGTTCAGACGCGCAAATATTCCTTTTTCTCCCGTCCGTGACACCTTTTTGTTGACTCACCGACACACGCTCCTCTCCGACAGACAGATCTTTACATGAGAGACATGGGGGTACCTTCTGAATGAATATGGATGGAGCTGTCCATCTGTCTATCTGCTTCGGATCTCCTCTGGCACTGAATGCTAACGGGGACTAGCAGGCTACCGGGAAGTCTCTGAAAAAATGCTATAAATTAGCCTCTTTTAGGAAAGAAAGCAAAAAGGATTGTAATCAGCCTTCAAGAACAGTTTCAGGTACATTGCCCTTTCAGTATAAAATGGCAGCTGTGAGCTGGCTGTCAAAGATATTAGCAGAAGATAAAGAGATGAGGAGTTTCATGCATACATGCAAAAGAAGTGAAATTTATTTATAAAGCACCTGTTAGAGTCACAGAGTCATAAAGCATTGTACAAAATAAATTATGGGTAAGTTAAACCTACCACAATAAAACTATGACATAAGATCTTGGGAAATTAAAATAGTTTTCAGATTGTTTTTAAAAACCTCCACAGAGTCAGCAAAACAAAGCTGCAGATGGGAAACTGATGGTCCAGACTGGTAAAAAGAGCATCAGTCCAAACTTGATGACACAAAATCATGAGTAATATTCTCTAGAGCTCTTCGGGAGTCTATGTCTCATACTTCATCTTTTAAATGAAAAAAAACAAAAACAAAACAGAAACGAGAAACAGATCTGGTGTGTGAGTCAAACTAACGAGGAGTCAAAACATAACACTTAGATTTTTCACATTAGATTTTGTTTCTGGGTAAAAAGAATGCTGACTTCGGATTTATCTTAAAAAGTTATTTTTAAGGCCTGTCTGTTTTGTCTTTAATTTCGGATAGGAGAAGAACACTGCACCAAAGCTGGTAAACTTTTGACTTGATGATGATGTCAACTTGGGGACAGATCAGGACAGCACTGAAAACAAATCTTGCATCACCAGATATTCCTTCCCCATGGTAAAGCAATCGTTTGCCTGGAGTATGTTTACTGTTACACCAACATTTCTTTGATGGCACAACAGAGCCCACAACAAACATGGATAAGTATTCCCACACCGTATGTAAACACAGCTCTGTGAGAAGTAGATGGTGATTTTAAATAATGAGAAAAAAGCTGTTCAAATTAACCTGGATTTATTTGAAAAAATAAACACTAATATCCACTTTTGCCACCGTTGGCAGAAGCAACTGTTGCTTGTAATGCAATCTTTTACATCTTTGACGAGGATTTTTGTCCCCCCCCCCCTTCCTCTCTAGAGTTTTTAAGCATGAATGACCTGTTTGACTGTTTGCACTTTGACCAGGCCACCCCAAAATGCTTTAAATTAAGGACCCGTCCAGCTCTTAAACCTAAGGTTCCCTCAGTTCACCTCAGTTCGGTGTTTTCTCCATTTGTGGATAATGACTCACTTTGATTCACAGGAGTCTTAAAGTGTTAGAAATGTCTTAGAAAGTTTCAGATTTCAAACCTGTTTTTTTAGATTGTGCCATGATGTGTTGCCTCTAAGAACTTTCAGCCTACCTCCAGTTGTCAGACGGGTTCTGTTGAAGGAATTTCTTGATTCTACAGGTTTTTGTAGTGATAAGGTCCATGTGGGGCTGCAGGGTGATGCAGTTGGTACCACTGCTGTCTGGCAACAAGAAGTTACAGGGTTCAAACTAAAATTCTTTTGAATTGTTCACTCGGAGACCGCTTTTTTGTATTTACTCAGACTATTTCCGTCTGATATATAAATGTTATTGATAATCTGAAACATGTAAGTTTAATATGAAAAAGAACAAAAAATGAGGAAATTTGTATTGGAAAAACTAAGCCTTTTAGGGGAAGGAAATTATTTAATACATATTAGTAATAGTTTGAAACAGTGAGTAGTTTTAAAATACAATAGAAAATAGAAAAACTAAGATATCGCTGCTCCTTATAGTAAAAGTAGAATTAGATGGAAAAAATGAGACAGGTCTTTTATAGAAACGTGTGTTGAGTTTTAATTATAACACTCCTCTTTTGAAATGTACCAACATACTAAAGCTGCTGGCCTTAAACATCAAGAGCTGGTGGTAATAAATTTATACCTTGGGAATTGTCTTCAGGTTTGCACGCTCCACTGCAGATTACACATTCCCTCTGAAGAGGACTGATGAAACTACTAAGTGCGCTGCGCTTTCATGGCTATTTTAGCCAGAGAAATAACAGCATTTCTAGTAATTGCAAACACGTAGAACCGGAGTTTGGGACGGTAGCAGACGGGAAGAAGAAGCACCTCTTAGGAAATAATTATCTCCTGCAGGCTCCTGTGGGAGATTTTGGCCCTGACGACGGCTGGTCTGCTATGCGGCTGTTTCTGAACCACAGGATTTGTTTTTATCCTGTGAGCAAAGTTATTGACAACGCTTCGTACTATTTAGAGCATTATGTTCCTGGAGCCCTTTAAACATAACATCTTTTTGGAAAGAAGAATTGTCTCTGATGATGTGGAATATTCTCCTGGGGCAAAGTAGTTGATCCATTCTGAAATCAGAATTACTCATATATTGTTGGGCTTTTTTTCCCCATCTCCTGTTATTTTCTGATACTTCAGGGCATTATAATAGATGGGGGCTTCATAGCTTTTACAAAACATTTACCTTTCTGATTGAGTTGATGGTGTTGGCAGCATCAGGCTGTGGGGGTATTTTTCTGTCAGGATGATGGCATCCCACAGGAAGAACTTTATGTGGAAATATTAAAGGAGCAGTATTATGTAAAACTGACATTTTTGTGCTTTGCATAAAATGATAATGTTGTTCACCCTTCAGAAACATATCTAGTGTTCCTTCCATTTTGGCTTAAGGACAATAAAAAGTGTGCAAAGTGTATCTCCAAATATTCTGACATTTTGGTAATCATAACAGACCTAACACAGGAAACTTTCATCATAATTTCATTTTAGATAGTAAGAAAAAAAAGGTTTTTTACTCAAAATATTGCAAACTTCTGGTTTCAACAGTTTTTTTGTTGTTTTTTGTTTTGTTGTTTTTAGAAAAAGAAAATGTTTGTATTTTCTGAAATTTTTGCATAAAAATAAAACTCAGGTCAGTGTCAAAGTCAACATCGGCATATTAGCAATCTAATGTCTGTGTATTAATCTCAATATTCACTGAAGGGCAACCAGAACGCAATGAAAGAATGAGAAAAGGACTACTGTGGATCGGGTAAAAGACATTGGGCTGCTGCTGATTTTTCGCAGCTCCATCGGGGGAGCAGGGAAGCTGTGCAGTGAGGTCTTTGTGCTGGTGCTTCGTCTTTAGTTTGACAGGAACCCCTGCTTTCACTGGCGCCTGCGAGAGAGAAGATGACCTCATTCTTTGGCGCATTGTGATCTTTTAGAAACCAATAACGTCATCACGGATGCCTGCCATCGTGCAAGAGCAAAAAAAAAAAAAAAAAAAAAAAAACAAAAAAAAGGAAGATAAAGTAAAAGAAAAATTACTCTGAAGTTATGGCATCATGAAGACTAATAGATTATTTTTATAAACAGGTGACAAAAATAGCCAACGAACAAAAACCTTTGTAGATGAAGTTCTGACAGAGCTTGAGACTCTAACAGATAATAAAGCAGGTAAACAAAAAAAATGGTATTGAAAAGCAAGTGATACCAACATGAGTCACAGAGGTGACTTTGAATGAATATAATAAATTGTGAATAGAATGAGTATATTAATAAAAAAAAATCAAGGCTCCTTTACTTGATTGCTTTTTGCTTTGAAGGGAAACAATCAGAAAAAAAAATCCTTGGAGACCTGACTGAGGTTTTCAAGCACCTCTCCTCCACAACTTCTCAAAACACATTTTATCCAGAATTTTGACTGAGGTCAGTGAAGTCAAGTGAAATAAAAATGAATATTCGTGCAGAAATTGCACATTTTAAACAGGTTATCATCAATTAAATCATCATAGTTTCATCTGAGCTGCAGACTGATGTGAATGTTTAGAAACACGAGATGTGATCTACAGTTATTTACAGGTTCTGCTCATGTAAATTGAAATCTTTTGCAAGAATAAATGTAGAAACTACTTCAGCGGCAATACCGTTACACTTTTGTGATGCTTGTCACTTAGATATGCTAACCACAGAGCAAAAACGGATGATCACTTCAAAAGATTACAACATAGTTTGGCTGCGCAGCAGTAATGTAAAAGGCTCGTGGTGGATATGGTGCAAAATGCCCATATTAACTCCAGAACAAAAGCAAAAAAAAGATGAAGCTGGTGTGAGAGAGTGAGAAATTGGTTCAGAACCAAGCATGATCTTGATTTTCGTCTTGCATATGCACAGTATGTGTCTATTTCTGAGTCTATGTGCTGAAGATGGACAGCATGATGACAGTAACATGGAGGTGATTTGGCTGGAGTCACATTCTAGCTTCATTAGCTTTGATGTGTGGTGTGCTGCAGAGGCAATAACTCATCCTCATCTTCCTCAGAGGCGGCCATGCTCTTCCACCACATTTATTAGAAAGTCCCCACCCAATGAGCAAAGCACCAGTTAAAACATGTGAAGGCATTTTGTCTTTAGCTGAAATTGATGGTACAAGCAAATTGTGGACGATGCTTTAGAAGCAGACCGTCTCTTACGGCGCGAGCCTGTTTCAGAAACGTTTTTCTCAACCGCATTTAGAAATTCAGCTTAAAACGGCATAGAAAGAGTAAAAATAGCAATACTTTGATCTTCCCTAAGACACATGCTGTGCCAAGGAGTACTCAAAAGGCTAAAAACCTGGAGAGTTGGGAGTCTGATTGCTGTGTGGGAAGTAGATGGGTTCAAAACAGCTGCAGAGAAATGCTCTTTCATCTCTCAAACAACATCGTCACTACCTTAAGATTCATCCAGACCAAAAAAAGATAAATCAAAGGTCCCACATGCATGCAGATTATAGATCAAAAAGCGATGCAGGAGCAGCAAAATCTTTATTAAAAACAAAGTTAAAGGAAAAAAAACAGCCAACAGGTGTTGAACTTCGGACATTTGCTCAATTGCTAGGGAGGCTGGACGCAGTAAGACAGTAACTTTTCTCAGAATATCTGCAGTCATGTTTCTGCAGCATCTTCTGTGGCCTCGGCTTTAGAGGTATCTGCAGGTTCCAGGTCGAAGTAGCTGATGTGCTGAAATTTCAGCACCTCGTTTCCCCAGCTGGTCCACCCGGGCTGAAGACTCCGCGCAAACAGCTCCAGACACTTGGCTTCAGCTCCAACATACAACTTCAGCACCTCTGTGAAAAATTAAGACAAAGAAACAACGATACCGTGATTGTTAACACACAATGTGCGGCCAAGCACACAACGGCTCATCTTCCTTGCATTTCAATAACGTAAGATGATACACTGCCTTGTGTTAGCTCCAGGTACACCTTTTCCTGTATAATGTAGAGTACAGTGGTGCTGAGAATTAAACAAAAAGCATCCTTAAAATAGGATTTTTATGCAAAACACACTGCGCAGAATAATCAAATCTGGGTTTCCCCATCGCTCCCCTGCATGGATCTTTTGTATAAAAGCTCTTCACTTGTTACTTTGTAATAGGCTGAAGACAGAGGTGGCAGCTGCAGAACTCCTTCACATTGCTGAACAGTTTTTTCCTCCCTGTGAGGAGTCTGCCTGTGACCTTGGCTTTATAAGTGCTCATATTCCAGGAGAGGAACACCTGACAGATACGTTTCACTTTCCCTGCTCTCTGCTACTCTGACACTGCCTCGGCTGACACTCTGGGAGTTAATGAGCTCAAAAGTCTGCTCCCAAAACCCATCCAACCTACATGTGCTGAATAACCTTACCTCTTTTCCCCTCTCTGTGTCCGTCACAGAGACAAAGCCCCGGTGTGGAAAGGCCAGACATGCAGCTCAGTGACTAACTCGTCCTTAACTCATGACTCAGCTCTCAAGTTGAAAAGAGAGAAAAAGTTTCACCATGATAAATCTTGAAATGGAACGGCACGTCTGGGTGAAAACACAAGCGAAAAGGGAAAAGAAAGAGGTCTTTTCTTTCTGATCAAGTTACAAAGTCTTAGTTAATCCAGTTTGTGGAGATTTTTTTTCTCTCTCGCTTCAAGATGAAGTAAAATATACTTATTTTTAAAGTTGTGGAACATGATTAAAATCTAAATATCTCTGAATAAAATACAATAATTAACATTAAAGTGTGCTCTTTTGGGCCCTCCTCCTGTACGTCCTCTTGATCTAACTCTCATTGAAAATGTTTTTGGATGGACGGCAGAGGTTTGCAAAAATGCTGCATTTTGTGAATCCATCTTCATGGAGCATCGTCCTCACCAGCCTACTGGAAACACTTCAAAATATTTATTTACAGGACCAGGGGGGACTACTTTTTTCTTTTTTTTTTTTTTTTTTTTGACACATGAACTCTGTTTTCTGTGTTTTCTGGGATGTGATCTCAAAAGCTTTGAACATCGTGTTTCAGTTTATATGACACTTTTCTCCATTCTCATTGTTTGGTCTCTTGCCTTCATTTCTTATTTATGCATGTTTTTCGTTGAGTTTATCATTAAAACCAGCAAAATTTAGTTATGTTAACCTTACACTGGAAGACCTTTTCTTAAAAAAAAAATCCATCCTTTAATTTGAATATATTTATTTATTGGAGGAATTAATTAATTGAACTCTTTAATTTATAGGAATCATTCTTCTGTCATAACACTAAAAGATCTGAGACACACCCACAACCAGCAGAGCCTTCTTGCAACAAAATGCATAAAATAAAGGAAAAATCCCCCAAAATAAAAAAAAATAATAATAATAAAAAAACTGCTTTCAGTTTCCAGCGCTGCTTAAGCTTCACTGGATATCATTTTTTCTTCATTGCCTAACGAAAAGCTTCCAGGTCAGCAACAGCGGATCAACTGGAACAAACAAACCAGTTGTGAATGAAACCTGCTGAGACCCACTGACACAAACAAAGACTCACACATGGAAACCGAGCACAATCTTTCTCCTAATCTGTTGAATCTCTATGGTGTCCCAAGCTCCATGGAGGCATCATTATGATTTAAATCAATGTATTTTAATAATCTCCCTCTAGCTCTATGGGAGGGGAGCTTTTCTGTGCTGCTGAAAGGGCACTAGCAAACAGCAGCCATGTTTCACCCGCCATACTGCACCATAAACTGCGTTCCCCCGAGAGGGAATGAGCTGACGTCAAGCCTTCCTTATTCTCGGTTCCTGCATATGCATTCCCAAGCTCTTGCACTCAGCTGCAAGGTGCGTACTGGAGGTGGAGCAATCGAGACAAAGCTAACGTGTGTGATGTAAAAGTTTGCTTTTTGACAAGTCACGGTTTCCATTATCTGTAAATATAAAATATGCAGACAACTAGTATATTGTCTTCTCTAGTCTACAATGATAACATTCAAAAAGAAGCTCAAGTTTTGACTATATTTAGTCTATGTATGGGTCTATTTAATGAGTTTTGTTTCCATAAAGAGGTGCTTCCCTGGTCCATAATTTCTCATGTAGGTTCTGTCCTTATTAATAAAATACAAACAGCACCGGAGTTGGAGCGAGTGGAGTGAAGGGAAGTCGTCCTACATTTAGATTTTATCGATGCTGCAGCGTTGCCCTCTAGTGGCGCAGAAAAAACACCACACTTTAAGGACTTACCTGACAGTGATGGCTTCTGGGAGTGCAAGGCCGAGGGGACGCTCACAATCAAACGTTTATCTTCAACTGGAACATTTGCAGTTTGTAAAGGGCTGAAACAAAAAACATAAGTACTTTGAGTATCACCAGGATTTACCTCATCTAAAAATTTTAATTTGAAAACACAAAAGATGACTTGCAAAAGCCCAGCATTTCTTCCCCTTTTGAATCTCTGAATGCATAATCCTCATAGTGGCTTGTATTATGCTACAAATACAACACCATGAACATGTGTTACGTTAACAGGTGTTATGCTTATCTGTGGAATAACTTTTTCTGCTTGTGCTGTGGAAATTTCATTTATTGAAGAATGAGAATCTGCTTCAATAATAAGAGAAAGATTCATCTTTGCCTTTAAGTTTCTTTATTCGAAGCCAAAAGCGTTCGAAGACCCGTCTCACTGAGCGCAGTCAGGAGAAGAGCCCTGAACGACACACGTCACATCGTTATATAGTCACAGCAAGGAAAAGACCCACCCAAGATCTGATCTTATCTCAATTGCCAGATGGACCACAGAGACAATCGTTACTCCCACCTCATAAACCGTCCCTCACCTCTTGGAGGGGATGATTTTATGGCATGAAAGAGCCGATAAGGATTTCAGGAGAAACTTCTAATTCTTCTTTGTCAGTTAGTCATGGCTGCAGGTCAAACAAGGGTACAAACTACATTCCACACATGACAGTCCTTTAAGACAATTACCAGATCAAGCATTTTCTATTACACTTGCCATGCTGAAGGTCAACTGCCGAAGCTGGTTTTTGCAGCAGCAAGGCATAAAGATAAAGAAACGTCGGTTCTCATGGTAACTTGTCTGTCTGTCTTGCAAATAGTTTGCACTTCTCTTGTCCTTGAATATAAAATACTTGTACTGACTTTGTGTGTCTCCTTACACTGTGGCTTTGTTCTCATCTTGTATAAGCTTTTCTAATTACAATGAAAAGTGGCTCTAAAACCCAAGAGGGTGGAATATAAATGTTGGACACACTTTTCAGATTTGGATTTGCGCCAAAAATGCAGGGTACCGTATGAAGGTCAGTCGCACCTCGTGTGGTCATTGGCAGGACGGTACCGACCCAGCACCAGCACTTCATACGGCTTCTTGTGTGGTGAATCTAGAGGAAACACAAACTCCCCCGATGTGGTGACCTGAAGGACGGAAGGTTAGTTAGGATACCCTCCATCTGTGAAACTTACCATAAATCATTTAGCTCTAGAGGTAAACTACCTTGACCCAGAACCATTCAGCGACAACTTCTACACCCCAGTGTGGGTACAGCTCGTCACGGACAAATCGGAGGTGGCTGGGCCTGTTCGTTACCCAGGTGACCACCAAGCAGCCTGGAGATCCCAGGAGGGGGACGGGAAGGCGTTTCAGCTGGGATGAAGGCAAAGAGCTGTATCTTCATGGAGAAAATTTATGAGGTCAAACTCAATCAACATGAGATATATATATATATATATATATATATATATATATATATATATATATATATATATAAATATATACCCCTGTACACAGGATCAAAAACTAGTTATATGCTTTATGCAAGTAATATGGATTTGCTTGGTGAACATCTAAATGTGTATGTAAATGGACACTGCTTGTTTACAGACAGGGATAGTCAGGAGTAAGCATTATGTTGCTCCTACTCCTCACTTTTGAACTTCTTCTCATTTGTCTAAGCATTTCTAATTGTCCGCCACTATGCCTTGATGAAACGTGTGAAAGTCAAATAACCTGCGACTTCTTTTCACAGACTTGTTTTCCCACGGTGGATCGATGACGATGACGTCAAATCTCCTCCCACCTATTTGGGAGAGAAAGTAGCACAAAAGTGTAATATTGTTACAGGCAGAGTTTCTGATAGAATTAAACATTACGCTGGGAAGAAAATAAAAATTGCTTTCCTAAAACCATTTTAGTGACTAACAGGTCCAGATTTCACTCCTTTTTTGTTTTCATTACACTCACATTGTACCAGTGGTTGTATTCTTGTGAAATCAGAAAGGAGGAATGCAGTGTCATGAGGTATTATATACTCCTCTCCCATCAGTGGAACCACTGCTGCCCAGGCCTCGCTGTTCTCCGTCACCTGGGAGAACAGGTCGACATGTGAAGCAACACCTTCCTCTGTCAGAAGTGACTGTGTCCACTCCTGCTCTTCATCGGCCACCAGAGGGAGCTCTTTAGCCATCTCGCAGAGTGCTGCCAGTCTGCAGTCCTGGGAGGGAAGAGGATCTTTGGATGTTTCTGTCTCTCCACTCAGGTATCCAAGTGACTGGGCAGAGTCCACTAAGGACTTGGTTCCCTCCAGAATAATGCTCCTGATCTGTTACCACAGATATATAGACATATCATGTTTTCTGAAAAACAGACACATTTTTAACATAATTCTATTAGCTGCTGCATCCTATCAGACTCTTGTAAAAGACTCTAAATTCAAAAACAATTATTATGCTGTTACAATTATCTATGAAGAAACTGAGTGAAGAAACTTAATCACTAATGTCATTAAAAACACAGCACCTTGCAAATAAACTTGTTCTTCATATGTTTTGGGAATTTTAGTAGTAGTCCATAACATTTGAACTGTATGTAGAGGATAAATGATATATAAAAATACCATCCTGAAGACCAAGGAATGCGTCAACAAGTTAAGAAGCTTCGAGAAGTTTTGCAGAGCCCTGGACTTGATAGTCAGTCAAAATGTATTCACCTTTTCATGGAAAGCCTTTGCATCAATTTCTCCTTGGTTGAGCTCACCGTGTTTTCGTTTCCGCTTCTGAAATCAAAAACATTTGATTAAATACTGACAACAGAACTACTTATCATTTTTAAAACACGCATATTAAATGGCATCAACCCAAGAACAAGTCTCAACACATTTTTGTTTACACTCAGAGAGGTATAGCCTGCAGCTTAAACAGTCTACCTTTGCGCATTTCTCTGTTTTCTGCGTCATAACAGTGTGTCCTCCATCAACTCTCCCACTCATGTCGTAATGACTCTTTAATATGTCAAAGCACTGTCTTTTAAAATTGCACTTGACATGTGACTTGTGATGCCCTGTCCATGTGATGCACCTCGCATAGCCTCGGTCAATGAGCGACTGGGAGTCCAAAACCCAGCCTGAGTTACTCTGAAGCACCACCGACATCACGAAGCTCTGGAAGGCTCACCCCGGGGCGAACCGTTAAAGAACTAGTGGTTTGCTTGTTTAGTCTTGTGGTGCCACGCCTTGTCAATATCAGAGATGTGTGTGGAAAATCAGATTTCTCCGTAAACGATACTGAAAGGGAAGCGTAAGAACGTAATCCGCTCCGAACAGGAAGTGAATCGTGTTGACGACATATGTGTTGGTGGTAACTGAATCGACTCAATGTGCCGGCTCTTTCAAATGAACGAAGAAATGTAACTTCAACCCCAATTCCGATTAAATTGGGAGGTTGTGAAAAACATAAATAAAAACAGATATGCACAACACTGCATATGGACCTGAATGACCAACACATCTCAAACTGTATATCGAGGAACAAGGTCATTGAATGGTTTGTACACACGTAGGTCTTTTTAATGTGATTCTCCTTTTAACAGTTAACCAATGGAGAGTTTGGAGAACAAACGTTATATTTTTGTGATTTGTTTCTCAGTAGCTGTGAGACAAATCCCATGAATTTTGTGCAGCTTTCCTTCTCCATTCAGTGCAAAAATATTTCCCACCAAATTCATTTACATTCATTTAAAATATCTGTATATAACAGGGAAATGGAGGTGAAGTCAAGTTCTTATTTGTGCGTGAATTGGCCAATAAAGTTGATTCTGATTCTAATGGGATTCTAGGCATTGCAGTTTCTGAAAGACTGCTAAAATAGTCCAACTTACTTGTGAAGAGTCATTCTATGAGGAGAAACTTTAAACTTTTTTATATTCGTTAAATGAAAAAAGGTTCACTTGTTAGGAGGGCACAATTAGAAGCCGAAAGAGCCCAATCTTTTCTGTGAGCGAAACTAAACGAACAGGATCCGGAAAAATAGCCGGAAGACCCACCTGGCGCTCGAGCACAATAACGCTTTTTCTCTCCGTACTCTCTTAGCAACAAATATCACGCACGAGCGAAATTTATGCTTTTCATACTGTCTGGCAAGGAATATCCGAAGCAACTTAGCATTACAACGAGAAGACACAGAAGACGGTTTGTTTAACGTAGGAACATGTTGCAAGGAGCTTCGAAACGTTTTCTGCAGCAAAGTTGTCGATAATCTCGGAGAAAGTTTAACGGAGTGCACCGTTCCTCTCCTCTGGGCTGCTGCAGGAAGAACTGAGCAATATGATTAATGTGTACAACTATCTACCCAACTACCAACAGGGGTTGAAGAAAACTCTGAAATTCGGTTTGGAACTAGCCGACTTTCTGGTACTTGTATACAGGGTAAGTTTTTGCTTCTCTGCTCTGTTTTGGGGTTGTATGAAGGGTCACTGAAGCCTCCAAAAGCAGTTTCGTTTGTTCTTAGCATCTATTTTTAAGACACGTTTTTAAGTTTCTGTAGGTTTAAAGGAATGGCTACATATCACCCTATAAGGCAGAATTGACTTAAAATATAATAATATAAAGGAATAATATAAAGGAAAATATTTAATTTAAAAAAGTGGTATTTGGGAAAACTTCAAATATCTTTGAAAAACCTAAAAGGAAAAGTGTCTCAAATTATCTACCTTCTATGCTATTTCAGACAAGAATTAATTAGACTTTCTGGTTTTGAAACATTTCTTAAATTCGTAGGTGGAAATGTTCATTTCCATCTTGTTGCTGTTTGCTTAGGAGTAAAAGAGCAGTTGTGGAATTTGGTCATGTGACGGTGATGTATGGTGTTTGAACCCCTCCCCAACAATCTCAGTTTCGCCCCAGGACATTCTCATAGGGATGCTTTGTCTGCTGCTAGTGGTCAGAGGCGCCTCCAGGACAGCTGTGGTTACAATGTTGCTTACCACTATGAGCGTGTGAATGACTGAAAGTAGTGGAAAGTGCTTTGGAGTCCTCTGACTTGATAAAGTGCTATGCAAATGCTATTTTTATATTGCAATATACTTATGTTTATTGGACTGATTTTGATTTTGGTTATCAATTAAAAAGTCATTATTTAGACATATTTTATTAAAACTGGGCTCCACAGTGGTAGCTGTTGCCTTGCAGCATATAGGTCCTGGACCTGGGATCTTGTTCTATATCCTCCCACAGTCCAACAACATAACTTTTAGTTCCGTCTCTGTAGTGCCCCGCCTCTCGCCTGTTGACTGCTGGAGATAGGCACCGGCCTCCCTGTAAATCTGCAAGAATGAGCATGTTAGATAAGGATTTTACAAAAAAACGAAACTTGGCCATATAATTGTCACTGTAGCCTGACTAAAAAAGATATGAAAAAAAAGGAAATAAAAATCTCTGGTTAATCAAAGCATAGTCAATAGATTAGCCCTGCACTGTGCTGATGCTAAAGGACTGAGCTTTTCATATGCTGATGTTAGAAGTAGTTTTTTTAGCTGCAGATGCATCATTTGCTACAAATGATAAACCATACACTACTGGAGGAATGCTATTTTTATTGCATTTTAGGCATTACAATGTTCTTTTTAAAAAGAAAAAAAGTTTGTATCTTTTAATGTGTAGCATTCTATAAAAAGGCTTAAGTGGTGAAATGAAAAATCTGCTGAATGTGCAATATTTTAAAGCTGATTAATCATCAGTATAATTGATTACTAACATGATAGTTACTTGGAGTCAAAAATGGGATTATTGTGCAAAACTATTTATTAAATCTGTATTAAACTGAACACATGTATGTAATAATGTTTTTCATCTGGAATTGTATCACGCATTAGAAAATCTATGGTAGCACATTTTTCCTAAATGTATTGATGTTCCCTGTGTTTTCCTTGTTTATAACTCACTTATTTTGTTTGTAAAAGGTGATGAACAGATGTTTGTTGGTTAGAAATAACTGCATGTTTCATTTTAAATAAAGCTGTTTTTTTGTTTTCCCACAGGAATTCGGTCTTCCTCCATGGCAAAAAATTTGTTTGGTAACAACAGACAGAACAGTTGTTGATCATGACAAATTTAGTGAGTAAATCCTTGATGAAAAGTGAAGAGACTTATGAACATGATGCAAAAAAAAAAATGTTGCCATCGTGATCTTAAAATCATAAATTGTATCTTTGTCTCCTTGTAGAGGAGCTTCAGGATAACAGCACCCTCTACTTGTTGCAAAGCAAGGACCAAGACCTTCAAGTGGCAGCTGAGGAGGCCATCAACTTTGTTCCTCATTACAACACGCTAATCGAGAGCGGAACATTTGAGTACTTTGCCGAGGGCCAAAAATCACTGCGTGAGTTTGTGTGTTGTAAATGGGTCGCCAGAAATTATAATAACTTGATCATAACCTTCCTCATTTCTGTGTTTGTTGGTTTTTTATGTTGATGGATTCTATTCCTCCAGCCTGCTCTCTCGCTGAGCTGGTGGACAACTCTCTTTCGGCTACAGCTAAGAACACAGGAGTCAGGACGATAGAGATCCGGCTGGTTGGTTTTTTATATGCAGACTTGATTTAACCTTAAATTTTGTGTTCAATTTTGTTATAAAGTTAGGACTGGATTGAATTAACGTGTGTGTGTTTTTGCCAGCTTTTTGACAAAACTTTTGCTGTCGTTGTGTTGGACAATGGATGCGGGATGACCTCCAAGCAGCTCAATAACTGGGCTGTTTACAGACTCTCTAAGTTCACAAGGGAAAACAGCACATTTGAAAGGTTTGTTGTAGACTTGCCAGTGAATGTGTCCACTTCAATAGCTTTTTGTATAAAAACATAATTCTGTCACATTACCTGACTTGTTTCTTGGAAATCTTTTTGGGGATCCAGTGAAAGAGAGGGTTACACTCGTCCTGAACCTGTACGTCGCAGTCTCAACAGCGATATATCCTACTTTGGAGTTGGGGGTAAACAAGCAGCATTCCACATTGGAAACTCAGTCAGAGTGAGTGTGCTTATGAAACCATTTAAAATGTGTTGTTTTGTTACAAAGATTATTGTTGGACATGAATAAGCCTTAATTTTAAACCTTTTAAAAACACTGTCAGTCTGAATGGGAGAAAAGAATTAAGCAGAAAAGTGCTCTGTGGGTGAAAATTACAGACCGTGATTCAGTACCTCTTCTCCCACTTTTAGCAGAAGTTTTCTGTGTATCTTTATCAGTCTTCCTAATAGCTAAGTTTCCCTCGAAAAGAGATTTTATAAAATAATATTTTAAAACCCTGGCAATGAATAATTACACAAGTTTCCACAAGCGGCACTAAAAATCAACAGATATTGTTTCTCATAGGTATGCACCCATTCTAACACACACCATACTTCTAAAACTGTCTGTACATGAGATTTCACAGATCAGTATGAAAAAGGTAACAAAATCCCTTGTCGCATGTCTGGTCTGGTCACAGGTGACCCGGACCTTTTGTAGTGTGCAGCCTCAATAACGGGCAGGTATTGCAATACCAAAAACAAATTCCCCAGAGATCTGGTGGAACAATTCTTTTGATCCTTAGTGTCCCGTCCAGCTCTTAATGGACCCGCTCGTTAGCAAGGAAGCTGAGAGGAAAAATGACTAAAACTTCACCTTTAACTAAATGAATAAAAGATCTCAGACTTGGATTTTGTTCTGGTGCAGAAGCCAAACCACTTCCAAACCACTTCTGTGTGATTTCCTCCCGCTGATGCAAAGTGGGATGAGGAAACCCCTTGTCCAGAGAGCGTTGCTGACTTATGATGATTTCAATTGGAGAAATGTTCCCTGATTAGAAAAATTTGGCTGATCTGACTCCTTTGATCTGGTCTCCATTGGGGCAGCAGAGTACTGGTTGAGCATATAAGTCAATAGCAAAACTACGATGCATTTGATTAAGCACAAGTGGGTGACTATAATTTAAGTTCAATCATTTAATTTCATTGTTAATATGTAGTTACTGGGGCCAATGTAGTTTTAGTATCTTTTAAAGAGGGACAAGGTAAAAACCGCCATTGAGCAAAAGTAACACAATTTCCAAATAAATGTTTTTGAATTTTTTTTTAAATGTAAAGAGAAAAAAAAATCTATGTATCTCTTATAATGAACCATAGCATTTTGTAACTATCAGATGATCACCAAACCAAGAAACTCTCCAGATGTTCATGAGCTGGTTCTATCAAAGGACGAGTTTGAGAAAAAAGAGAAGAACAAAGAGGATGTTTACAAAGGGACCATCTTAAACAGGAAGGTGAGAGACTTTAATGAAAGTGTTTGGTGAATTCACTGATAA